TGTCAATAATGTTAGTACTAGAAAATATTAAACCTAATTTATTACTTACATTACAGACGACATTATCATTTTTTCAAGTATACCCTGTAATCCTAAAACATATTGGAATGCCTCACAGTTTTTAACATGATCAAATATAACACTATCAGATCGTGAAGAATGTTCTTTAAGTCTAGTTATTAACTGTTTAACCCTATATTAATAGCTAAAAATCCATTTTGAGAGCCTAAATCGACTGGTTTGGCTTGTCTTTGCCACATAATAGTCAGATTCATGAAATGCTTGGTAGTTATAAGGCTTTTGCATTTTAAAGTTTCATAGAAGGCCGGGTTATTGTTGTTGTTATGTTGTTATTATCATCATCTTTGTCTTCATAATAATTATTTTTATTATGTACTAATGAATAATGTCATTTTTGTTCACTTAAATACAAATGCAACTTATTGATAAGATTAATTAAATGTGAGCATAGTATTTCTTATATTAATAAGATTAACAATTTTCAATCTTGTAATCAATTTTATATAGCTGGAATTAGTTCTGACCTAGGCAACCCTTGCTAAACTTCTTCTACGAATGGAATGACCTGTCCAAACTAAGTACTGTTACGATTTTAATACAATGACAAATTTACCCATCATGCAATGGAAAGATGAAAAACACCACTGTAAGTTTAAATACCTTCAAAAACATCAGTCATTTTACAGAGTTGTGAAAAACTTGCTCCTTTGCACCATTCATACACAACGTCCATCAGACTTGGTTTGAATGATTCCACATAGTCATCCTCATTTACATCCAATTTGGCTTCGATACTGACCTTTGCGATCCTTCTAGCGGAATCCTATATTAAAAATCAAGATATTATACAAGATATAGTTAGTGCGGTTAGTTAAAGAATTATTTATGGATTATTAAAAAAATTACTTAGTGCAGAATAAAGAACCTTTGTATGTTTGTAAACTAAAAAAATGAAATTACTTTCTTGCTATTAAAATGATAAGAAAACTACAATAACACTACAAAGCAAAGAACAATAGTTTTGCACGTACTTGCATCTGACGTAAGGGTCCTGCTAACACTTCCGATAACTTTGGCATTTCATTTACTTTCTCTTGAAACACGAAACAACTTAACAAGGAAACCGTTTGCTCGACAGTCAGCTCGTTGAAAACGCCATTAAATATTAACTCAGTCATCAGTAACTCGTCACCTCTGAAAAAAGAATGAAAAAGATTAGAGATGTAGTAATGTGTCTTACTAAAAAGCAATGGCCATATTCTTGAGTAAGATATACTGTATGACCCTAATTGACCTTTCTGGAGTGTCAATTAAACTTTGTTTTTATTTCAACCATCTTTAAAGAGGGTAACCCTTCCAGTTTAGCCCAGTAGATTAACTGATATTCAGGGGCCCTCTTTAATAAAATTAAAAAACAGTACAATCTTAATAACAAGTCTTAAAAGTATTAAATTGACTTACATAAAGACATAATTCAAAATAGAAGTCTAATTTATAATGCCTTATATAATATAGGCCTAATATAATATAATATAAAATCAAACAATGTAATAATAAGAATATCCAAGTATCCAAGGGGTGGAGCTTAGCTGAAAGATCCATTACCTCATTCTTTGAATGGGATATCAAGCCCTTGGTCTCTTGTGCATATTAGCACATGTGGGCAAAAAAGAACTTAGTACACTAATTAAAAAAAAGTATTTTTGCTCCAGTATAGTACTGACCGTGGTAGGCAATAGCACTGAACCTGTAACAGGTCCATAGGGACCTACTCCACACAATTATTCATTTATATTTACATTTAATGATGCAAAGAGTTATACATAAACAAATTAATCATTTATCAAATAACTAAATATACACACACATAATATAAATATATACATATACACACATATATATACATATACACACACACATATATATATACATATATACATATATATATATATATATATACATATATACAATTAATCATTTATCAAATAAATAAATAAATATACACACACATAATATAAATATATACATATACACACATATATATACATATACACACACA